GAGTGAGGCCTGTGGGCACACCTGCCTGTTCCACCTGGAAATAGCTCAATGGGATGCTGCAGCCTCGCTCTGATCCCCAGGGACCCTGCATTGGCTTTTACTGGACTTGGAAGCTGAAGCTCGAGCCTTGAACTTGAGGAATCTCAGTCTATACCCACAGCAGCTTTTGGCTGTCCCATAATTCTAGGTTTGAATGTAATAAAAATTCGGCAGTATGACAGCTTCTTAGCCCCTTGGTTCTATGCTTTAGGAATAAAAAAAATATAAAATTGGAAGGTGCAAACAACTGAGATTAAGGGGCAGAGTGGAAAGAAGTGGGAGCATCGTAAATACAAGGCGCTGGTAGTGCAGTGGTGTTCTGTCTTCCTGCCCTGCCTCCTGTTAACCCTGCTGCTCCTTCCCTTCTGGCCCATCACACAGGCTGTCAGTTTTCTTCTCATGCTAATTGCTAAGACACTGCAAAGACATGCATGCTGATTTATCATCCTTGTGCTCAGGGGAATCTCACATGAACAGGGAGCATTTCAAGCAACAGTAAGATAATTTAAAACATTACCTTTTGGATATGTTGGCTTAAGCCAGAAAATAGGAAGGTCACCACAGAGCTCTAAGACTTTAGAACTCAAGAAACTATTGTCCTTCACAGGCTGATCTACGGCCACCCAGATAAGAGAATTTTCTTCATATTTAACTGGCATGATCTTGCCTTCCTGTAAGTAAAAATGAAATGTATTTGAGCAAAGAGGATGGGAGACATACTGCATACTAAGAGTCCTGTGTTGCTGAAAGATGATTTCATCTTACCAAAACATAGAGTTCTGTGCGTGTGCGTGCGTATGTGTGTATGTGTGTGTACTCGTGTACTTGAAGGCCCTAATCTGTTTCCTTTGTAGCTGTCTCCGGTACACTTCCTACTGTTGCTCTGTCTTTGGGTAGCTGTAAAGTGTGAATGTGAGTGTCCTGAATTGAAGTGAAAATTACTTGATACCAACTTTGAGATTTAGGTTAATCTGATATTTTTGATCAAAGATGGTTTTGAGGAAAAGCAATTGAATGGACCCTGGAATCCTTTAAAGGAGAGAGGAACCCTTCATTTGAAGTGAAAATCTTTGGGGGTTTTGTTCTGCAGCTTCCAAACAACAATGGAAAAAGCAAGTGATTCGTTCTTTAATGTCCTCAGTTCAAAGTATTATTTAACATAAACCATTTCTCCACTTCGCAGCTATAACAAAACATATTTCGGATGTTCCTCACATCAAGCACACCACTGAGATTTCAAAGCTAAACCCTGGATTTTCTTCTGCAGCAAGATGCTGAGAATGGTTTGATAGCCCAGGAGACAAATTTATTTTGCCAGGTTGTTTCTTTCATGTATTTATTAGTTTGCAATAGGTTGGAGAAATTAAAATGTTTTCTCCTTATTTTTAGCTAAAAGCAGTGCTTCAGTTTTGCTATCTCCCTCAGGGTTATGGCTGCATTAAAACAACTTAAAGTTATTGGAGGAAGCTAACACTCCAGTAATCCAGTTATTTACCTTAAATTAAATGGCTCCATCCAGGAAATGAATGCTCTTTGAGTACAGTAGCTTTTAAAAGTTATACAAGGCTGATGAAAAATTTATGAGCACAAGTGGTGCATAAATCTACCCCATCATAGTCTAAAGTGTATGAGGAAGAGTGGGACGATTGGGATAATGCATATAGAAGTGTCTTACCAGCTAAGAATGCTAAATAAATCTTGGGGCACATACTTTCAGATGCCCACCCAATCTCTTTCTTCCCCTTCCTTGCAACACAAGCCTGCTTTTGTTGGAGGCAGAAATGTGCTCAGAGCCAGGGAGACCCTTGCTTTCTCAGACTCTCCAGCAGCTAGGAGTGCCCCGGGACAGGCCAGTACATGGAAGAAGTACACGGCCTTTGGAAATGTTTGTGCTAAACAGTGAGATCCAGGCTGAAGTCTGTAGGGGGCTGGAAGGTCTTGTGCTTTTCCTGGTTAAAAGGAAGTCATGGTCGGCACTGCTCACCTCTCCCTGACTTCCTTACTTGAATGTGTGGTTTCTGCTTGGACCTGAAAGGAAGAAACCCCATAGTGATCAGGCCACTGAGCTGAGGCCTGCAGCTGCCTATGCCATGTGCTTACAACAGAGAGAAACAAGTCTCTATTTGCTTAAGTGACCCTAAGTGTAGTTTTCTGCTACTGACAGCCAAACATGCTTCTAATTCACACAAACATATTGTCTGAATTTGTTTTTGTCACCATATTCTACCAGGCATAGTATAAGCAAGGAAAACACAAGACAAACACACCATCCACTTTCTATCAGAAGCAAAGATTTAGATGATACTGAAAATGTTGACCATGATGAATTATTTTTGTATTCAAGAACAGTTATTTTGATTTGGCATTATCTAAAATAGTGAAAAATCAAAGATACCCGAAGTATTCAAGAGTAAAAATTTTTTTTTTTTTTTTTGCTATAGGGCGCGTGTGCTCGCCAGACAGAGAGAGACATAGAGACAGAAAGCGAGAAATCACCCCCCAGGGGGGATGGTCACGCCGCAGTCCCTTCTCCTCCATTCTCCTCTCAGGATCTTGGGCACGCATGCACACGCACCCGGCATGAGTTTTAAGCCACCGGGTCCGGGACGCGAACCATGGTCGACTGAGTGGGAGTCCAGCGACATAGCCATTACGCTAACTGCTGGTTCCTGAAAAATTTCTTTTTTTTTAAGAGATATTTTTGCTATTTGGCATGTGTGTTCACTGGATAGACAGAGACAGAAAATGAGAAATCACCCCCAGGGAGAATGGCCATACTATAATCCCTTCTCTATTCTCCTCTCTGGATTTGGGGCATGCACGCACACACACCCAGAGTGGGTTCAAGCCTCTGGGTCTGGGACTCGAACTGTGGTTAGCCATGTGGGAGTACAGTGACATAGTCATTATGCCATCTACTGGTTCTTCAAGAGTAAAAGACCTCTAAAATTATAGTTATATGATAGATTATCTACGTTTTAGGGGGAAAAATGAAGTCAAAATATTTTAAATGTGCAGTGGTATAACTTATGAAACGAATTTCAGTCCTCTCTCCCCACACTCCCAGCACAAAAAATCCATTAGTACTTAATTAACAGTAGTTATCTGTGGATTATGCAGCTATGGGGCATTTTCTTTTCTATACTTTTCCAACCAGAAGAGAATGGCAAGAACATTCAGGGTCCAGAAAACATCTCACTGGGTGAATTTTGGGGTAATAGTAGAAAAGAAAACAGAGGATATGGTGGCCAGGATATGGTTTTAAAAACTCATGGGTTTGTTTTTAGCTTTTGTTGTGTTTCATTTTATTTTGAGACACTACCTGCTGCTGCTCCTATGAGGACAAATAATTGGGTAGTTTCCAGGCACCTCTGCCATCTAGATGTTTCCTCTTTCACCTTGAGGGAGCTGATACTTACTTCACCTCCCCTTGGGGGATATAGGAAGGACCAAAGGTAACTAATAAAATTAAAGATAATGAGCTGTAGCCATCGGCTCACTATCCACTGGGTCCCAGTTTGCAAATGATAAAACTGAGGCTCACAGCATTGAAGCCACAGCTATAGCAGGTATCAAAGCCAAGATTTGAACCTATGTTTTCCTGCCTCCAAAGTCCATTTTATTTCCACTATACCTTGCCACAACTCAAATGGTGGATATAATGGATGTGACCATTTTGTAAGCCCTGAAGTCTCATTAAAATATAAGGTATTACTGGTAAGTGTGTCTTTAGAACTCTGTGTGCAATTCTTAAAGTAAATTTAAAAAATCAAGCTCAAAGGCAAGTTATTAATAATAAATGGAAGAATTATGAAAAAAAAGCTCACAGGTTTGATGCATAGGAAAGGAATTAAGATATATGTCGTGTAGTTTCATTGGGTTGAATTTGAACCAAGGAAAGGAATTGTAGGGGAGCCATCTCAGC